CATTTGCTGAGAGGCCAAGTGTGGGAATGACTTTCTCATCGTAGAAACCTAGATCACGTTACTGGACTGCCTCTTCACATAGAATTATAGAATGAAAACTGAACTCCTGGTAAATGCTGAGCAAGTCTTGTATTTGTTTTGGGTGAGTTTGGTATCCTTGTGTACTCCTGAAAAGCTAAGGATGACTGCCAATGACTTTCCTAAATTTCCTCTCTGTGTTTCAGGCCCTTAGGCTGACAACCTGCCAAGTCAGACCCTAGGGTAAAAAGGAAGGGCCTGGGGCACTATGGGCAAAACTTGGTGACTGGGTTTAGTTGTCATAATACTGCAAGGCATATTCTATGTTACTTTCCCATGGGAGAAACCTGGCTCTTGGTTTAACCATAGACCACACTTTTTCCTAAAGTATGGCTTATTTAACTCCTGAACATGGTTTTTAATTGTTATTTTTCATTCATATATTCTTCCTCTCAAAGAGACATTCCAATCTATATGCCAGGGTAGTGTATATTCAGACCAATGTGGTCTAATCTTCATTGACAATGAAACATGTGACACTGTGCCAGTCCATTGGAGCCAACTTAAGTTATGTTTGAGTTGCCTTCATATAAAATTTCTGTGTGTGTCTAAGGTTTTAACTTTTTAAACCTAAGAGAAATAAGTATAGGGTATATTACAGGAATCTAAATCACATTTCCTATTTTTCCTTTTTGCTTCAGAAAAAAACAACTTTATAAATGACATAGAACCATAATAGAATTAGAGCTGGAAAGATTTTCAGATATCATCAGTTCAACACCATCATATATGACAGATGAGTAAACTGAGACCCAGTTCAAGTTGGATGTTGAGATGAAATGAGACATTCACAAGTCACTGAACAGTTAACAAAGGGAAGTTTACTTTGCCCAAATACAGCAATGATGTGAAACAAGAATATAGGGACACTTAGTTTTTCTGAATGTGGCCCCCTTTATCTCCATATGGGAATGTATGTGGCTATCAGAGTTTCAGAAATCTCCCAAGTCCTCATACTATAAATGAGGAAACTGAGTCTCAGGAAGAAGTTATTTATCTAGTTCAATACTCCCATATATTTTAGAAGAGAAAACCAAGGGCTAAGAAAGGAAAATTACTTTTTTTTAGATGAGAAGTGGGATTTGAACCTTATGCTCTGACTTCAGAGCTAGTGTTCTTTCCTTTATAGCATAATGCCTCCATCATTAATTTTCCCCTGTGAATAGACACTTTCTAACTTTATGGGTTGCTTCTATCATCCCCATGGTGGATCAATGAAAGGGGATTCTTTGTACTTTTCTTGTCTGTCTCTTCAGGATTTTGATATTGGAAAGCATATACTATCAGTTGATAGCTAGCCTCCTGTACGCCATGTGGGCAGTGACATTTCAGTGCCCAGGCAATAATTTTGTGCCTGTGCACTGATCTCTCCTCATATGACTTCTGAGGAGTTACCTCCACTCCCACAGCAGTGTATGCTTGCTTTCTGTACAGGATTTGAAAAATTAAGTCAGGCTTAAAGCATCTGCTAATTACTAACTCCTCCCTTCCAGGTTGGTAGATGTCTCCTATCTATGAAGTAATTTTTTGGCTCAGACCTTGGTTCATAGGCTAACCTTAAACTCTCCTCCCTCCTTTTTCTTCCCCACCCCCAAATTAAAAATGTGAGAGCTTGTGGAAGTTGCCAAGATTATGGTACACCTTCATTGAAATGTCTCCAATTGTAAATTCAATTCTAGTAATATGCCCAATTAGTGGAAAGTGGGAACATCTGTCTATTACCACTATCTACTTCACATACTTGAAAATTTTGTTTTATGTTTTCTTTACTTATTTTCTAACATTTTAACAAATTAGCTCTGTGACTTTGGGCCAGTCCCTTTACACCTCTGGGCTTCTGCTTTGAGCTTTTTCATTTGTAAATATCAGGAAAGTAACAGGGAGGAGATAAACAGAAATGATTCCCAACATTTTTGTTCCATGAACCCCTTTCAATTGTTAAAAAATGTGATTTAATGTGCCATTCGTAATATCTTTACGATTGTTTATTGCTTGATGCACCATTAAAGAATTTTTAGTGCCAACCTCTTGGAATGTTACTGTAAATCCTCAAGAAGCTCATCAGCCACTAAATAGGAACCAATGTTTCCCCACTCTGTACTTTAGGCCACCTTCTCAAGTCTCTTCCAGGTCTATTGGACCTTTTTAAAGTTCTCTAGAATTGTCTTACATTGTGGACCCTCATTCTAGATTCTTAGAGCCCCGACTATTGATTAGACTTCCGATTGGCTCTAAGGAGTTGAGCTAAGAGCAATGGGTAAAAATACTACCTCACAATTAGAGCTATATATAAAGTAGAAGGGACTGCTTTAGAAGATATTGGGCCTCTTGCCAGTGAAAGTCAACCAATCAATCAACAAACATTTATTAAGCACCTGCTATACACCAAGAATTGTGCTAGGAACCAGGGTGCAAAGACAAAATTCAACAGTCTCTGCCTTGGAGGAGCTTTTGGGGGAGATAACACATCTATAGGAATGTACAAAATACATGTGATAAATTCGAGGTAATTTGAGGAAAAAGGCAGTAGCCACTGGCATGGATTAAGAAAGGCCTCACGTGGAAGGTAAACTCCAGTCAAGTCAACAAGTGCATTAAAAAATACCTACTATGTGCCAAGTACTGGTTGGTTTTTGACCTGAGTTTTGAAGGAAACTAAATCTTAAATAAAGACTGACCACTCCTCACTTGTATTGTATGTTCTTGCTCAGGTGTGCCTTGGGCTAGATGTGTTCTGAGGTCCCTTCCAACTTTCACTGATTGACTGATGAACCTAAGAATTCCCTTATCCCACATTCCTATTTATTTGTGTTCGTACACGTTCTTTTCCAACAGCACCTACTCAATAATTTGTTGTTGTGTCACGGCAGTCACGTCTGACTCTTCGTGAGCCCATTTGGGGTTTTCTTGGCAAAGATACTGGAGTGGTTTGCCATTTCTTTCTCCAGTTCATTTTACAGATGAGGAAACTGAGGCAAACAGGGTTAAGTGACTTGCCTAGGGTCACACAGCTAGTCAATATCTGAGGCCAGATTTGAACTCAGGAAGAGTGGTCTTCCTGACTCTAGGCCTGGCACCTACTATCTACTATAGTGCCACCTAGCTACTCCTACTCAATTATTGACTTATATTTAACTCAGTTCAAGCACCATCTTCTACATCAGAGGTATTAAATTCACATTCCACAGGCCATGCAAAACCACTAGCTTCTAATTCTGGTGGCAGAGAAGGCACAGCTCAGTAGCATTATTATAGTATCCCCAAATCCATCTGTGAATGTGATATCCTCCTCCTTTCCCAAGACCCTCCCTGGGAATTGTCCGACTTCTTCCAGATAATCACAGACACAAAAGAAATATTACCCTTAACAAGGGTGCTTCAGACCCTTAGCAACTCATCCCAGGTGAGTAATTAGGCCTACAATGCGGGATGCCTATTTCGTCTGTTATTCTTCCTTATACAGATGTGTTCTTTCACACTTATGCTGGAAGTATGAATGAATAGCTTTGACCTTGAAATCAGCTGAATTGAAGAGTAACTTGACCTTGGGCACAAAATCACAGATTTAGGGTCAGAAAGGAAGCTGCATGTCCTCTGGTCCAACACCCTTACTTAACAGATAAAGAACTGATGACCATCAGGTGGAGTGACTTGCCCTAGGTCATACAGAGCTCTAACTTGACCCCAACACTTCTGACTCCAAATCCAGCACTCTTTTCCCTATACTATGCAGCCTCTATACTTTGTTTTTTTCTCTCCTAGCCCTTCCTCTTACTTTAATACCTCAAAAACACATTATGCCATGGAGTAGTCTCACCCCTAACTCCCCATGAGCACATATTGGGAACCCTTCACCCTTTAGTGATGGACTTCTTGAGTTGCTGTGGCCAAACAAATCTTCCAGTGATGGACAATTTTGGGGGGACAATTTAGCTAGGCCACTCCTCAGAAAATAGTCCATGCCTAGGCCTATACCTTAAGCATTTTTAGCTTAAATCATCCCAAAACAAGTGTATTATCTTTATGTCTAAATCTGTTCCTTCTTCTGACTTCACTATTTCTATGGCACCACCATGCTATACTTGGTCTCCTATGTTAATAATCTTGAATTCATCTCTCTTCTCTTCTCTTTTCTTCTCCTCTCCTCTCTCCTATCTTTCTCTGTCTCTCTCCTATCTTTCTCTGTCTCTCTCCTCTCCCTTCTTCTTCTTCTTCTTCTTCTTCTTTTCTCTCTCTCTCTCTCTCTCTCTCTCTCTCTTTCTCCCCCCCACCCTCCCCACCCCCAATCTGGTTACTTAATCCTAGCTATGATACATCCTGAATATCTCTTGCATCTATTCTCTCCTCTCTGTTTCCATTACCACTATCCTAACATATTCTTTCATTATCAGCTATCCGATAGTCACAATCCAAGCCTAATAATCTGCTTTTGTTAAATGCTAGATAGTCACGTTTTACTGAAATTGTGAATCTAAATTACCAGATCGGTCTCAGTCAGGCCTGGCTCAGAAACAGGCTGGGGAAACTGAGTCTGAGAAGTTAAATGCTTTGACTAGAGTTATGTGGTTAGCAAATGGCAATGCTAGGACTCAAGTCCAGGTCCTCCAGGGCCAGGATTGGTGTATTTACACTCAACCATATTTCTTTTTAAGAAAAATAGAATGACACACATCCTCATTCCATCATCTTATTAGAAATGTGTTAATTAGGCAAAGTCATATTTACCTTAGTAATAAATATATCACATTAACTTTAAAATCATTCCAAAATATTTATATACAGTGTTTTCCTTCTCCAATCAGAGAAGAATTTTGGGCTGGTGTTTTCATTCAATAAAGCTCTACTTTGATTGATTATCAAATAGTACCAAGCAGAACCTTTACTTTCCCTCCCAGGCAGAAGAGATTTATTCTGCTTATTACCTTCAAAGTCTACATCTCCTACTAATTTTGTCCTTCCTGTTACAGGATCACGGATATGGTTGATACCCACATCAATTACAGTAGCACCTTCTTTCACCATATCTGAGGTAATCATCTTTGGAATACCTGGAATAAAAAATACACAGTTGCAAAAATAAAGCTAATTTGGGCTTCGTTTTCAGTTAAAATAGCTGTGCTTTTGATGTATTTTTTTTTAATTCGCAGGATATGATGCTTTAAATACCTGTTCCAATAAAAGGAGATGTAATGTATAGGTTACTTTTCATGGTGGGAAATTGAACTGGTGAAGTAAATTTTAATGGAAAAACTTTGGTAATACTCAAAGTGGCAGCATGACACTCTAAAGCAGAAACACAAAATTTAATTTATGGCCTAGAAGGGAGCATATTTATGGTGTAGTCTTTGTAGGGAGGCATGCCCCTCTTTGTAGAATTGGGGAATTCTATGTTCTTGATTGATTTCTATCAAAGAAAACTATGTTCTCATTTGATTTCTATCAAAGTTTTGTCCCTGAATGCAAGTGTTCTATAAAACAGACCAATTTCCCATATATTTTTCCAACTTAATTATGGGAAATACCAGCAGCATTCTACAGAAGAGTACAATTTCCCAATTGAAAATGTCAGTGGTGTGAACCCTTGTTTTCCAGGGTGACTTGGCAGACAAGCTGGGATGAGAAGGTAGGAGGTATGGTTGTTGCTGTGGCTGAGGGTCTGAAGAGGCACAGTTTCACCATTGTGGAAATCATACCCATCCTCTCCCTCCTCAATTATTGCCAAGTTAACACCTTTCTCTACTTGCCCCACGGAGGCATGGGAGATGTGTGGGTGTAGGTACGCAATGGGATCAAGTTGCGGTACATTCAGAAATGAGTCGAAGCCTCTCAGATGCATAATTTGGGTATGCATCCCAACATAGGTCAAGGTTTTCAATACCATTTTCTAATCTGCTCAGCTATTTTCCTTAGCTTCCTTTATTTCTCATCACCATATTTGTATCTGTCCCTAAACTAGTAAATGATCACTTTTCTACTTCCTAAAAAGACCATTATTTACCAGAGATCACCAAAAATGTAAAGCACTGGCCTTTTTCATCATTTCATAAATTCATTTGATGAAACAGAAGTCATTATAGAGTTGACTTTGCTTATATTATCCCACTTTAGCTGCCAAGTAAACCATGCAGTGCAAATGACTATAATATAGTAACACATACACACACACACACACACCACATTTTATTTTCTTCATTGTCAAATGAGGATAATAATCATAGTATCTTAGAATTAGAGCTGGAAGGGACCCCGGAGGTCATTGAGTTCAACCCCTACATTCCCCATTTTACAGATAAGGAAACTGAGGCTCAAAAATGTATAGCAACTTGTTTAGGGCCATAGAGCCAATAAATGAAATATTAAGGATGAGATTTGAACACAGTTATTCCTGCTGTAATTCTAACTCTCTACCCACTGGACTACCTCCTACACCTATCTCACAAAGCTTTTGTGAGGATACTGCTTTGTAACCCTAACCCTAACCCTAATTCCATTTCTAACTCTAACCCAAAATCTAAAAGTGAGCTGTTAGCTGGAATGGTGGAAAGCGACCTGCTGGATGGTGTCTCACTGCCCACATGTGCCAATGGGTGAGTGAGTAAAGACTCATCTAAGGATGCTTCACATCCCCCAGGAAACCAGTGCCTAATCATCATAAACATCTGTTCCCCTGCCACACCGACTCCTACTGTAGGGACAGTAATCAAATCAAAAAAACCTTTGTTATGGGAAAGAGCATGAAAGCACTTCCTGCCAAGATGGACAACAACAATAAATAATAATAACAACAATAAATTATATATTGCTTTATGATTTGCAAAGTGATTTACAAATATTATTTCATTCTATCCTCACAACAACCTTGGAAGATAGATACTATTATTTTCCTCACTTTACAGATGAGGAAATTGAGGCAGATAAAGGTTAAGTGACTTGCTCAACAACACACATCTAGTAAATGAATGAGTCAGGATTTGAAGTCAGGGCTTCCTGAAGTCAAGCATTCTTATCTACTGTATCACCTAGCTACTTCTGTAATAGGAGATAGACCTCCAAATTCCCACATACCTACCCCAACAAAAATCTGAAGTTCGCACAAGACTGCATGACAATCAAGAAATTGAATCAGAAACCATAATGACTTCTTCCATCCCAAAACTGCACAAAATGTCACCTGGGAACCCTGCCAGCAAAGGCAGCACCAGTACAGGGTAACCTGTCAGCATGGCCAGAGATGGTCAGGAATGTATCTCACAATGTTCTGTGTCTGGAGGCAGCAAGGGAGAAGAAAATCCCAAGTCGAGGACCTTGGAAGCACCAGTCAATGGCAGTAACTAGCAAATAGCCCACACAGTGTCAATTAGTGTGGTACTGTTGCCACAATATTCAAACCAGGTCAACCAAGGCCTAGAAGATCAATATGGAATCCTCTATTTGGCCTTTAAAGCCCTGATCCTTCCTACCTTCCAGTCTTCTTACACCTCACTCTCCTCTGTGCACTCTGGGATCGAAAGACACTGGGCTCCTCCAAAGACACTGGGCTCCTTGCTGTTCCTTAAAAAGACATTATCTCCTGACACCAGGTATTTTTACTGCCGGCTCCCCCATGCCTGGAATGCTCTTCTTCCTCAACTCCACCTCCCAGTTTCCCTGGCTTCCTTTATGTCTCAGCTACAGTCCCACCTTCTGGAAATAAGCCTTTCTCAATCCTCCTTAATTTTAGTGCCTTCCTTATGAGGTCATCTCCAATTTATCCTTCATACAGCTCATTCTTCTAGAGGCTGCACTCCACACTTTCTCTTCCACGGCCTTGCACATTTCATGTTGTCTTCCCATATTAAAATGTAAGTTTCTTGAAGGTAGAGATTTTTTTTTCTCCCAGTATTTGTATTTCTAGTGCTTAGCACAGAGCCTGAAATAGAGTCAGAGCTTAATACATGCTTGTTGACTGGCTAACTACAGTTAGGTCAAGATTAAATCAAGTTTGAACAATGCAAAACATGATTTAGTGAAAATTATAAAATAATACTAGGTTGTATCGAATGCGAGCCAAAATCTAATTGATGTGATACTTGGGAACTAGTTAAAGGTGGGTTTGCACTTTCCTATTGTTATGTGTGGATGTGATGTGCTGCTGCAGCTGCTGTTGTTTGTCTTTTGATCTTGAAGAGGACCATGACATCAGGAAGGTGATGTCATGACTTGGAAGTTAATTAATTGAATTTAAGTGAGGCAGGGCTGTGCAGGCACCAGCCTTACTCTCTCCTCCAGAGTCATCTGAATCCAGTGGCAAGATATAGATCAGGATGATTGGAGATAGCCCTAGATGTAATGGGAGACCTTGGCCTTTTTAAGCTAAGGTCTTTCCCAGGTCTCAGTCAGTCTGAGGCTATCCCCATTCAATGATTAAAGCTAGGTAAAAAAATGAGGCAAAGAATGGCCTTTTTCACCTAGACAAAAAAGAAATCATTCTGGGAGGGGAGGATCCTCAGAGTTTCTGGCCAAAGCTGAAATAATTGCTATTTACACTCACTCTGAGCCATCACAGCCCAAACAATGACCACATGATGCTTGGCCTGGCACCTATTGTTGGCCAATCAATGAAATCCAGAATGATTTGGGTTTAAGGCATGAGCCTTATAAAAGAAATCTAGCCCATAATCACCAAGATATCTTTTGAGGTTTCAGTGATCAAAATTTATATTCCTTTGGGCAGAGTGCCCTCAGGTAAGGGTATGATTCCCTTAGGTAGAGGTAAGGTAGGTAGAAGAAGAGTAGTAGAAGATAAGGCTGGAGAGGTGTGTCAGAAAGTCAAGCTGAAGACCTACATACCATCATAAAAGAGCCTTTAATGAAATGGACAAAACAAAGGATATTTCATATGGAAGCATTGCCAGCTCAAAAATGAAGAGGCTGGTTATTATATTAGTACGAAGATTATGCTATAATTGAACGGCATCTACATGGTCATAGTAACTCTAAGACGGATGAGCTGTCAAGAAAGGCTGAAGCTCTTACACAGAACATTATAAAACAAGCAGGTGAAATACAAAACTGCTGATTTAAGAATGAAATAAAAAATCTATTTCTCTTAGCAGGGCAGCCATTGAGACTAAATCTTCAAGTTTATCAGTGAAAGATGAAGGAAATGGGGAAGAAACCTTTACTGCAAGAGCTGCTTGGTTGCATAACTTTAAAATTGAGTTCACTTGCATAACATTAAAATTTTTGGAGATGCAGCTAAATATCCCAATGCTTTGAAAAAAAATAATAAAAAAGGTGAATATACTGACTGACAAATTTTAATGGAGATGAAATGGGTTTATTCTGGGAAAGGATGCATTCCAAAATTTATACTTCCAAGGAAAAAAAAACTCAAGTTGGATTTAAAGTGTTTAAGAATCATCTAACACTTTTATTGGGGATGCTAAAGGGGATTTTAAATACAAAGCAATGCTTGTTTACCAGTCCTGAAAACCTTATGCTCTAAGAAGCTACAATTATTTCCAGCTCTTTGGTGGTCAAATTATAAAGCGTGGATGACTAAAGCTGTTTTCAAAGACTGGTTTTTCAGCTATTTTAGCCCAGCTGTTGAAAACTATTGCAAGGCTCAAAAATATCACATTTAAATTATTTTTGATTTTAGATAATTCTCCAAGTTATCTAACTATAGTTGATTCATTATGTGAGCACGTAAATTTGCCGATAAGTAGTTAAAACTTTCTGCATCTACCAGTGGATGTACAAAGATTTAAAGAAAGAAGAGACAGTTTAGCTTATGCTGCTAAAATATTCTAAAAAATAACAGCATTTCCGTCATACCATCAGTGTAGGCTTATCTTTATTGCAATATTAAGTCTTTAAAATTTTGTTTTCTATAACCATTCTATTTCTTTGTAAGAAACTTGAACCAGAAACAGATTTTTCTTATTCTTTGCCATTATATTACATGTAAAAACAGATATAAACTTTTAAAAAGTTTTCATTGGGTATTCCATTGGGCTGGAACTGATTACTATTTTTTTACATATAACTATAACTAATGTTTCTT